CGGGCCATGTCGTTCATCATCATGATGTGCTCACGAATGCCGCTATTCCCGTCATATTTTGTAGTCACCATCTTCAAAATAAGAGTACTAGCATGTGCCTTAGAAGTTGCTTTGAATTGTTCCTCCACGGAAGCCAGATATGTTTTAGCATTAGATGAATCTGGAATAGCTCCCCTGATGATTATGCTGATGGAATTTTTAATGAGCATAAGAGCCATTCTATTGCACCTCTCCCATCTCTCATGTACTATTTTATCTTCAGCAGTACTTTTATCAGTGAGGGCAGGAGGGGCAGGCTCTCTCAGTGCATAATCAAAATCCAACATGCCAAGAGTTAGCATCAGTGAATCTTTCCATGAAGAAAAATTCGCACCGTTCAAGGTTTCAATTCTCATATTTGGGGCTGATAGTGGATTCAGATGAGAGAAATAAGACACATAATTAAAGAAGAAGTTAAGGGGTAATGAACTAAGGCTGGCGAAGATAAGGACCATTATATAGTAATGAAGCTGTGATAAGAGTCTATTATAACACCAAAAATAATAGACTAAATTTAATTCTACTTAAACAAATGGCTTTCACTTTGGTTATGACCACTTATTCAAGTATTATGAATAATAAAATAATCATGTGCAATTTGAATGTTACACATCACCTTTGGGCAGAAGTGAAACATTTAAATTTTAATGCACATATATATTTAGTTCGCAGTACACAATTATAACACATCATCTTTGGACAGAAGTGAAATATTATGCTAAGGCGAGTGTCATGCAAATATCTATTTAAGGATATGCACTAAATGACAATGCTTAATAAGACTTGAAATAAATTTTACAAATGTTACACATCACCTTTGGGCAGAAGTGTATTCTAAGGTATTATTCAAGTCAAGCAAAATAAATCAATTTAACTAATCATAAAATAAATTTTATTTGAGATTAGTCAAATGATTTATAAATTTAATGTTAATAATTAATTAACCGCAAAAGTTAAAGCGGTTTGGGGCGGGGCTACGGAAAAATTTTGAGGACCCATTAAGATTAATTTAATTAGAAAATCAAAAGACATATAAGGCGAGAGATTTTCCAACAAGTAAAAAAAATTTAACTTTTTAATGGTATTTTAGCATATCCCTTATTTAGTTTTGCTATTCTGAGTAAAATAAATTAATAAATAAGGAAACAGAATATATTATGCAAAAGTGAGATATGTCATACAATTTAAGGAAACACAATTATATTCCAAATCAACTACTAAAATAAGATAATTTCATCAAAATAAGGATGAAGAACATGGATTGGTTTATTAGGTTTATTTTTACCGGGCAATCCAAATAATAATAAAAAAAGGTTGATTTCACTTTAGGGGATCAAGAAACAGTTAGTTGAGATTTGAAAAATAAACAAATCTGTTTTTTTTTCTCGGTGAGATTAAAACAATTCAATTTTTAGTTTGTTTTAATCGAAAAGAGGGAGAAAAATAATATTGATTTGTTTTCAAAGCAAATCACAAAAAATTTGTTTTAACTTTGATCGAAGTAAAGCAATTGTGATTCCAATTTGTGCTGAGAAAGTAAATCCACAAGTAGATTATTATGGAGACACCATTATTGATCCAAATCGGAAAAAAAAAACAACAATTTCAAAAGGAATTTCACATAGTCACTTTCCGATTCAAATTACAGCACTGAAAACATAAGGCCATAAGAATTGATTACGTAAGGGATGGAAACTAATTTCCGATCCAGCTTTATCGAATCTTTAATGGAGAAAAATTCAGTAGTTTGGGTTTCAGCAAAACAATAAGGATTGATTAATCAACATAATGCTTTGATACCACATGTTGATCAATTCTTAAACATAAAATATAAATTAGGGATTTAATCATGTGTACCTGATAATCCTGTAAACGTGGTTAGAGATGAGGCCATGATTCTCACGCAGATCGAGTTCCCTTTTAGGGTGTATTGTTATGATGGCTAAGGCGAGGGCGAGACTCACGAGAATAGAGAGGCAGAGAAGAGGCGTAAGATTGGTGTGTGGATCTCTGCCTAATACCTCTATTTATATACACCCAAGGGGAAACCCTAATTATGTCATAAGGGTAATTACGTCCATCGAATAATTACCAAATAAATACGTAGGGTATTTATTAGGTCAATGATCAATTAATTAGATAAATGATAACTCAGGCCATATAATAAAAACGTGTCCAACAAAACTCCAAAAGGCATGCACTCCGCACGACCGAACTTTTTTGATGATTATTATGATAACATTGGTCAAATAATTATTCCAATTACACAAAAATATATAACACAATAATGCAAGCATAGCAATCACTTGTTTTTTCTTTCTTCATTCTAAATTTCTCATAGTTGGTGAAAAGTGGTAGGAATATAAACCAAACAAGAGATTTGGTTGATTTCGTTATCAGTGACTTGGGAGTATGCCCTTTTAATTCGGTCAAATTTCAACCCCCAACCACTGTGTATCTAATGAATTCTCATCGCGACAAATTAGGGAGAATAAAATATAAAAAATCGTGGGTTTTTTCTCTAGTTGAGAGCGGGGGGAATTTCACATAAAAAAATTATACGTTCAGTCTTGTATAGTTGTATTCACTGCGCATTTTTCATCCATTATACTACGGGTAGTTTTTTTACAAGTGCTGTGATTTGACGGTAATTTTTCCAACAATATTTTATAAATATTTGATAGGTAGTAGTATTAAACACGTTAGTAAGTCTATATTCTTTTCCCTGATCAATTTTTTTGAAGATCTAATCTGATCTGATCTGTTTATTAAAAAAATACGGAGTAAGAAATAAGCAGAAAAAAAGCTAAACGGAGTAGGAAGTAGGAAAAAACAGATTAGATCTAAAAAAAGGATTAAACAACCTAAAGACTACAGTTTTTGGTTTGGGCCGCCAAGCAGTACTTTAAAATACCAATCTTTAAAATACCCTTCCGTCCTTAATTTGATTACAAATTCGGAGTTACAAGATTAAATCTTTCATTTTTTAAAATCATTTTATTTACAAATTGATATACCAATAAAAATAAAAATTATATATCAAAAAACTACGTCCAAAATTCTTCAAAATGAAAAAACAAGAATATTTTATTTTATCACGTACTCAATAAAAATGTATAAATAAATAAAAATTATTGAGATGCGAAAAAAAATTGTAATCTGAGGAATGCATTAAAAGGCAGTCAAAGCACATTTCGTATTTAAGATTCTGCTGACGTGGCAGCACTACGACGAAGTGACGAACACATATACAAGCGCGACCACCAAGCGCCAACTACTTCCTTCGTTGAACTAGATTTATTAGTCGCTGTGGCCATTTATTTTCATATAAATATATTTTTTTGTTCAATTATAAATATGTTTATCCTATCAATATAAAGAATATTCAATAATATTTTCCGGAGTACATTATTTGGTTAGGCAAATTTTAGTGTTCTTTAAGTCTATATTTATTATATGAATCTTGATACGTGGAATGGTTAAATGTGTTGGATCTTGTAAAATGAAAGAGATCCCAACTATGATTTCATAAAAAAAATTCTAAGAATGATAATATTTTACATTTGGATCTTAACACCATAATAACACAACTCTATTCGTTATAAACTTATAAATACTCAGTAAGTGATAGCACAATAAAGAATCTCAAGTATACAAAACATACAAACTAATGACTCAAAAAAACATACAAATTAAAATACGTTTTTATTGATTCTATCCAACTTCTATTTTATATAAAAATATTAATCTTGTATAAATAGTTATTATAAGCCTACATATAGTATGAAAATCAAATGAATGACTTAATTAATCAAAAGTCCCGACGTCCTCTGTAATTTTTATTTTTTAAAGAAAAAAAAAGAAAGACCGGACTGGTTCTAACTGGATTATCTAGGCGTGGATGGAGGCATCACGACTCATGAGTGACATCATCACCACGCCACCGCGGGCGTGAAAAAGGGCTTGATGTTGGTCATGGGCGTTGCTTCTTTTTTCTTATTTTTTTCAAATCTTAAACTAATCAAAATTTAACACATCTTAATTTTAATCAATCATAATAATTCACACTTTAAACGTCATCACTACTTTTCGCACCCCACATCACACATAATTTTATCACTCTGCGACGCCTACGTCATATATTATTATCTCTCGTCAAGGTCTTGCCAAACCCGCCACTACACATGATCTAAAAGAAAGAATTTTCAGAAAAAAGTCTCATTTTAAAATTGAGTGTATTGCCATAAAGAAATTTAAAAATCATACCAATAATCTAATTTAATGATTTATTTTTTCCTTTTTTTTAGATTACCTGAACGACTCCCAAAAAGGAATTAGTCCAGCCGTATTTAGCAGCCAACGGGACGACGGCGACCGACATGACGACCCTATCCGCATTGCACAACGCCATCACGCAGCCCATCAGCGCCACCACCTTGAACCTCTCCGGCATCGCCAATCTCGGTTCATCCGCGGCGGCGGCGGCCCTCCCCAGAAACGCCGCCTCTATCCCCTCCGCCGCACCCCTCACTTCCCCTGGTCCTCCTCTACTCCTCCGCCGCTTCTCCGTTCCATCAATACCATCGCCGCCACCACCGATTCGCCCAACTAACGGCGCCAAACGACCTCCGGCCGCCCACTTCGGCCGGAATCCCAAACGGGTCTTCCTAAAATTGATGAATCCGGGACGGGTTTGGGACGAAGACGACGACGGGGAATTCGGGTCGGGTGAGAAAAAATGTGTTTGAAAAATGTTAGTAGCAGGCGTGCTTAGGGTTGCGGCCATTTGGAGTGGATAGGGGGGGGGGATAATAGCCGTGTGGGAAACGATGAAGGGGAAGGCTCAGCTATATAAATTGATGGCCGCCATTGTTGATACTACTTCATCTTTCTTTCTTTCTTACGGCTCTCGAGGGTGTCTACCTAATTTTGCCTGGTTGGGGTTGTTGGAAATTTTTAAGGAGACGACATGCGAGTTTTTTTTTATTTTACTCTGTATTTTTTGAAATTTTATAAGAAATCTACGTGGATATGTTTAAAAAAGTATGAAAATAATAAAATAAGAATTCTAAGTCTTTAAGGTCAAAATAAAAATATAATAACAGTGTAGTGTAAGACCACGCGTTGACATGTGATAAAAAAGTGATGACCGTGTACTATGTGAGTGTGATCTGTCAACCGGCGGTGACCACGGTGGCACTCAGGTGACCGGCGACGACGGATGACAGTGTGACGATTGTAGAGTGACAGTTACGATGTGACAATGTGATGAGTGTGATAGTGTAACAATGACAATATGAATTTCAATTGTGGTAGTAAAAGACTTATGACTCATATTTTAGTACGAAGTATTTTCATAGTTTTTTACTTCTATTTATGAAGTTCTCCCATCATTTATTCAATTTTGATTTCTTGCAATCAAATACTTATATAAAATATATATGGTATGTTAATTAGATAAAATAATATTTTAAAAATATTATACTCCTATAAACAAACTTAATAAATTTAATTTTGTATCAATAAGTAATATTATTTTTATAAAAAATGTTAGGGGTGTACACGGGTAAATTTCACAAATGGTACCTGAATTTTAGCTGGAATTTCGAAGTGGTACCTGAACTTCAAATCCTTTCACAAAAATCCCTGAACTTACACAATCCTTTCACTAATGAGCCATTAGCCCGTTTCTAGGTTAACTTCCGGTCATTAGGGCCAAATTCGAATTTTATATATTTTAAAATTTTCAATTTGACCCCATTTCTTCTTTTCTTTTCTTCCACGCCCCGCCGCCGCCGCCCGCCGGTCAAAGTCGCCGGAAAATGAACTTTTTCCGATTCCGGCGGAACCAATGTCATTCTCTTCGTCTTGANTTTGCAAATCTTCATCAAATCTTGCAATTGAGGGGTCCTTGGAGGTCGCCCGGATGCCACGACCGCATTGGCGTTTGTGCCCGCCATCAAATCTTGCAATTGAGGGGTCCTTGTATCCCGTTGCATCCCAACCATACAATCATGAGTGTGGGTTAAAAAATTGATAAGTGGATTTAGAATGTGCGGTGGTTGGTGTACAAATGAAATACATCATTAGTTTATGGTCAAAGTATATCAATTTTGACCAAAAAATCAAAAATCAACAAATATTCAATGAGGATGAGGGAATATGTAAGGGACATCGTTAGTATGCGTCGAAATGTTTTATCTTAATAAATCATCTTAAATAGAAACAAAACATAGATAAAGTATTAAAATAGACGTTTCATATTTTTATTTTTTAAATAAGAGTTTGCACTCTGGTAATGTGACATTGTACATGATCATTTTATTATATTTTTTGGTAATGTAAATGGTCATGATTGGTAATGTACATGCATTTTAACTCTCTTTTCAGAATAAAAACATGAAATTCCTATTTTGGTATGTGTTTAATATTTTACTTCTATCTTTTTTTCTTTTATTTTTGAAATTTTTAGATTTGTTTTTGACATCTTATCCCAAATATTGCAAGTCCATATTCCACTATCGATATTTTAAATTTGTGAATTGTGAGCATTTCATTTTTTCGTGTATATTGTAACATTTTATTTTTAAATTTATTGACTCTATTAAAATATAAAATTTATTCATATTTTCTTTTTCTAATGACGGATAATGAGTCATTGTCTCCACCACCACTGAAAATCAAACTTAAGTGAATTTTCTCATACATTTTAGATAAATATGTTGAATGTGTCATGAAAGCAATAGATAATATAAAAGAAATTACTCCCAATAGAAGTAAAATATAAAGAAAGTATCAAAATATGAGCTCCATGTTTCCCTCCCCGAAATAGGAGTTTAGAATGTGATAATGTGACAATGTATATTGACATTTCACAATATTTTTTGGTAATATATATGATCATTATTGACACTGTATATACATGTTAACTCATATTTTGAGAATAAAAACATGAAACTTATATTTTAGTATATTTTTTATATTTTACTCCAATTTTAGTCTTTTCAACACAAACTTTATACTTGAAAAACTAAGATGACCAAAAAGCCCAATATTTTCAACTCTAATTTGCAATACCATCACAAAAAGAATTAGGGGAAAATTCGCAACACCGTTCTAAGTATCAAGAATCAAGTGGTACAATAAATTTTAGAATTAACCTAAGGCTACACAAACATGGGTACTTCATTTGTACACAAGGCTAACACAAATATACACAGACACAAACATATTGTGTCTGTGTGTATGCTAGTCTAGTGTACAAATGGGATATCTCATGGTGGTGTAGCCCTGACATTACCCTAATTTTATTCGATCTATAATAAACACTATTTGCAAATATAACTGTCAATAAATAATTTTGGTAAAATAACAATTAGCAAATTCTACCAAAATGTGAAAATCACACCTAGAACGTCACATTGAAGATATTGCCAAAACAATATCTTTCAATCCTCAAAAATGATAATTCAGTGTTGAATATGAAGAGAAGAATGTTAAGAATAACATAATAAAATTTCATTATGATTATATAAATGATGGAACCGAAGTGGTTCTCGAGACCAGTTCGGGTTGAGATCGGTAATTTCATTTGTTTCTTGATTTTTAGTGAGAGACTAGATCAGTCCCAGATTGGGTGTCCTTTTCTGATAGAGTACACTAAGACCGGACTATGACCAGATTATGACTAGATTTACAATAAATTTGAAATTTAATATGTGTATCAATATATTTATACTTTAAAGTATAATTTTATATAAATACATTTAGTCTATCAATATACGGAGCATAGTTTTAAAAACCGGATCGGACCGGCTGGTTCGGATCGTAACCGGCGAACCGGTAGTCCAACCAGTCTGGTCCGGCCCATTGGACCGTAATATGTTTAAACCATCGGTTCGACCAGTTGAACCACTGGTTCGATCAGTGAATCAGTGAACCAGTACCTTGACCAGTTCGGTCACTGGTCCGGTTCTGAAAACTATGATACGGAGTATAGGATAGTAATTTACATTATTTTTTTTGTAGATTTTCACATACGGAGTAAATGATAATCATCTAAAAAATCTCAAATATACAAAACATACAAATTAAAATTAGTTTTTTGTTAATTCTATCCAACATCTACTTTAGATAAAATATTCATATTGCATAAATAGTTAATACTACCTCTGTCCTAGTGTATTTGTCCAGTTGGACTTTTTTGAGTCAAACTGGACAAACTTTTAATACGATAAATCCAAAAAATTCGTTTTTATGTTAAAATACATTATGGTTTTTTTTAATTGAAGTTCAAAATTTATCCAGTTTAATTCGAAAAAATCAAACTGAACAAATACACCGGGACGGAGGGAGTAGAAATTAAATAATCAAAAGTAAGCAGTTTTTTAAGAACAAAAAAATAAAAAATTATATACTTTGTATTAAAAATAAGGATCAGATCGGACTAGAACTGATCCTAACTGTACTACCTGGTCCCAAAAACTCCTAATTTTTTTATACGGAGTATATAAAAACCGAACTAGTCTGAACTCCGAACTAATGTCAAAAGAACCAAACCAATATATCCCTAAATAGTAATCCCTCCGTCCCACTCTTTTTGTCCACTTTCATTTTTGTACACCATCCAATGCACTTCTTTAATCTATTTTATCTTGTAATGTGTATATTAAAAAATTATAAAAATTATATATTAATAATCTATATGTTAAGACAAATCAAACAAGATCACACATGACTATTTTTAGACTTACACATTGAGAGAATTTGATGAGTCAAAGTGCTTTGATGAACAGTTCCAAAAATTATAACTGGACAAAAAAGTGGGACGGAGGTAGTACTACGTATGGAGTATTGGTCGACTTGCTATCTCTAACTCATACATTCTATATGGGCTTTTAGGGACTGAATGCTGTAAATGGGCTTCAATGGACTGAATATGGAGCTCTTATTTCCACTTTAGCATTCGAATGTATCAAGAAAATTTATCCTCTTTGTCTTGGGCAAAAAGGCAGCCGATATTAACTATAGAGGGAAAAGCGATCCCCTTTGTCTTTGATTCGAAGTATACGCAGTTGGAACTCGGAAATAGCCAAACTCGACGACTCGACTCGCCTTACATTTCGAGAAAACCAGTGTTGATTAACTCACCAGGTCCGTCCCTCTTCTGTTCAAATTATTCTTCACAAGTTGGTGGTTTTCTGTGTGATTGTTATTTTTTTTTTCAATTAGTACAAAGTTTGTATATTTTGTTGATTTAGGTTACAATAAAATCTTCCAGATTTTGAATGTCGATTTGAATAAAACCGTTCTGATCTGACCCGGGGAGATTAGGAATCGAAATGTGATTATTACTCTGTAGAATCTTAACCATTTCTATTTACTCCGCATCTTTTCTTTTTCTGCAATGGAAATATTAAGATTTGGCTGGGGTTTTGTTTTTCAGATCTTCACATTTGTGGCTAAAATTGTTTTTTTTTAAAATTTTGATTGGATGCCAGAAAAAAAAAATAGTGGCCCGCAGTTTCTGCTAAATGTTGATTGAGTAGATAATGTGTTATGCAGTGGCTAGCTTGTAACCATTGTGGTGGAAATCAGGATTGTCTTTATATTGAGTCATCTAAGAAACGATATAAGTGACACGAAAGTCATTGCGGGGGGAATGTTTATGCATCTGCATTGAGAGACAGTTTCATCCTTCCAAGTTTTGAGATATCATATGTTATGGAGTTGTCCCATTGAGAATTAAATTCCATAAAAATGTGGGAATTTAATTTGTATTCACTTCATTGAGAAAACCTTTGTGTTACTAGCTTCCTTGAATAATATGGCAACCAACTTAACAGTAAGCCTTGTTTGATTTAAAAGAAGAGTTTGAAATGTTTGTTATGCTTGGCTCATTGGAGG